TCTTTATTTTTAACAATTTTGGCGACACTAAAGTCGTTGTGTGCCTGAAAATAAATTCAATACTAGCACTAATATGTAATATAGTGAAGCAGAGTTGGTATCCAAATGGAGAAGAATACTTTTCTTTTATGTAACTAGTAAATAAAAGGGGGTTTTGGGATTGGGTAATTTAATTTAAGTGAACACTAAGATGAACACTTGTTGATATGTTTGTTGATCCCAGTTATATCTATAACTTATCTCCTCTCGAATACTCAATTGAGAAGTATCTCCAATTCATCGAGTTAGTTATTAACAACGTGACATTCATGTAATTTCCATGCTTACATTTATGTTTTTTATTAGTTTAGATTGATTATTACCTTGGAAATTACACACTTTTGATGTAATAGTTTAATTTGTAAAAATGTTTGTAATTTGTTTAGATTAGGTTTATACTGAGCTCAAACAGGTCCAAGATCACTCTAAGGACCATTGGTGAACATCACAAATGGAAGGAAGGTGCAAAAATCTCAAGATGAATTGAAGATTGATTTTTTGGTGTTGTACCCGGTCGGGTATGACCTATACCCGATCGGGTACCTTGTTGAAAAATCAAATCGGATCGGATCCGGGACAAGGCAACATGCAGGGGAGATTTTGGCACGATCGAGTGTTCATACTCGATCGGGTGGCCGACATACCCGATCGGGTATAACCCAGTTTTTTATACTTCCACGAAGCAACTAAGTACCCGATCGAGTGCCCTTACAGCCCGATCGGGTACACGACCCTGCAAGCCTAAAAAGCCTATAAATACCCCCCTTTCCTTCCCACAAAAAATCACGAATCAAGATATACTTCTTAGCTCAGTTTAGACAAGTTCTTTCTTTATATTTTCTTCATGTTTAGTCTCCAAATGAGGAGCTAAACTCTTCCATCTTGGTTTTGCTACTTTGAAGCTTAATGAATTTGTAAGTTGTGAGTTATTTTCTTTAATCTTCTTCCTTGAATATTAATTATTTCCTATTCATATTCCATATTAATATTCTGAGCATTACGTAAAGGATCAACTAGTTTTGTTTCATATATTAATTATTACTAGAATCAATCGATTAATACGCTTGTTATTAATTCGGTTCTTTTAACGGTAGTAAAACTTGGATTATTAGTGCATGCGTCTCATGGTTAATAATCTAAGGGGAATTAATTATATTGATTAAACCAATAAACCGCTTGTGTTGAGGTTATCAATCTCAATCGTTTTCATCTTAAGTTTATTGCTACTATCGGGCTAATATACGACGCTTGTTCTATATTAACTCGGTAGTAAGTTTTATTAATGAACGCGTCTCGTTATTAATAACTACCCTCGATGAACTGGATATACTCCTCGATTGAGTATTCGAGAGGAAGATAGTTAAAGATATAACCGGGATCGACGAACATTTCATTAAGTGGATAAAAGCAAAACCAAGTCCTCATCTCTATAAATTAAACTCATATAAGTCGTTTATCTTAGTGTTAATTAAATTCAATCAAATCAAACTTAAAACCCCCCTTGTTACTATTTATATAAAAGAAAAGTATTCCTTTCCCTGTGGATACGAACCTTACTTCACTATACTACGTATTAGTGTTGTATTGATTAATTATTTTGAGTGCACCTCACGACAAGTGCACGTCACAACGACCGTTCATTAATAATTATTACTATTAGCCAAGTATAAAACACCGCCATATATCGACTTGACAGTAGCTTTTAATCTCTTAACTCCTTGATGAAATCAATTGAGATTGATAACCGCAACACAACGGTTTTGGTTTAACCAACACAATTAATCCCTCTTAAGATTATTAACCATGACCGTGCATTAATAACCCGAAGTTACTTACTTGTGAAATCATCAATGATTAATCATCGGTTCATTGATCGTTTCTAGTAGTAATTAATGTCAAGATGTTAACTAATTGTCATCTTACCAACACTTCCCAACATTAATATAGAGATAGAATAAGAGAAGAATTAATATTCAATGGAAGAAGTTAGAAAATAACTCACAACTTTTTACATTCAACAAGCTTCAAGACTCAAAAGCAAAACCAAGAAGTGGAAGTTTAGCTCCTCATTTGGAGACTAAACAATGCTAGAAAATATAAAGAAAATACTATTCTAAGTTAATCTTAAGTTTATGCAAGAAGGTATATCAAATGTGAAAGAAAAGGGGTGTATTTATAGGTGTTTGGAGGTGGCAGGGTAAAATACCTGATCTGGTAAATAGGATACCCGATCGGGTAAAAGACAAATCTTCACAAATATTGCTCTCATAATCATTTGTTTCCGGATTTGATTTAGACACTCGAATCATGCAAATATGCGTATATGCTATACCTGACCAGGTAAATGACTTATTTCCCAAATCTTCACTTTATTTTGTTCCCTTACACTTTCCTTGACCTTCCAAGGACCTTTTTGATGATCTTTGCCTTATTTTAGCTCAAAATAGTCATAATCCAAACAAATTACAAATAATTAGGGAAAATAAAGTATTACTGCAAAAGTCTATAATTTCCCAAACAACAATAAATAAAACTAGTTAAAATTACAAACATAAACAATAACAATTCTATACTATCACAGTCACATAATGATTATAATTGGCAATCGTTATTAATAACATCTTTCTTAGAAGGTAACATGACACCCGTTCTCGAAGATTCATGGCTATCAATATGACCCAACTTGACTGTTCTTCTTTTGCTGTTGTGTTTGTTCTGTTTGATGGTGGTTCTTAAAAGTTCCTATTCACATTGAGTCCACAACTGGCGTTCTGGCGTGTTTTGTTTCACTCTGTGCGGGGAGTTGCTTTGGCATCCCGACCAGCTTCACCTTGTCAGGGATTTTTATCTGCCTTTTTTGGGTTGCGTAAATAATGGTAGAGGTATAGAGGTTATTTTTGACTCCACCTATTTCTATGTCTATATACCCGAAATTAAGTAAGAAGAAGAATTTCACATTCACCCATATTGCAGCAGTTTGTCATCCTCCGGAACCACCTCTGTGCCAAGAAGAGTTTGTGGAAATGATTTATTCCTGTTACTTTTGCTTTAGTTGTACTTGTTTTTATTTTAATTCGAGTAGGTTTGATTTAAATATTTGGATATTTGGAATACTTTTGATAGGCAGCGTTTCAATTTTGGTCCTTTTAGACTTAAAATTGCTCTTTTTTATCTAGCGAGTCAGGTTGTTTTGTATGATGTTGTTGACTCTATGTCTATCTTTAGGGCGTACAATCACATTTGAAATAACGTAACTGTCTAGAGGTTGTCTTGTATGCTCTCTCGATATTATTATAAAAATCGCTCTTTTATATTAAAAAAACTTAAAATTAAATAGGTGGATTATAATAATTAAATTATTTTTAATCAAAACAAGGTGAACATCGGGAAGTATTTGGAGCTTTAGGATGTTTTCACTAGAACTTATTTCAGTCTCAGACCAGACCATGCCAGACCAGACTAGATTAGACCACATCAGACCTCGACATTTGTAAATTATAAAGAGCCAGACATCTTCTTGTTCAAACTAGAACATACCTGAACATACCAAATAAGACATGATAAGACCAGATGAGACCGGATCAGAAAATTTCAAGCCGAGTAAAAATATCCCTAAAGTACAGTGCATCACGTAACGGCGGATGATGGTAGGGGCTAGCGTGGGCTCCAGCCTAGCCTAGACCAATTTTTTTAATTATAGCTATAAGTTTATAAAAAGTGGTGTTCACCCCAGCCCAAAAATAATTCAAAAGCCCAATTAAGTAAAGTCTTCAAGTAAATTTAAAATTTAATTCATAATTTTGGTCTTCTAATTTTAAATACTTCATAATTTCATATACAATTGAAGAAGAGAGAATAATTTCATATATATGCAAAAGTTTAGTGTGTTAGTGGTCAATTGGTCATATACGTAGTATTTATTATACAAATGAAATTACCATTAATATGCTACATTGAAATAATGAAATAAGTATTCATCTACTACAAAATGGAGCTCGAGTTTGGCTCCATAGATTTTCGGTGTTCGATTCAAACGTTCGATAAACCCCCTAAACATGCTCGAATGTAGAAGTTTAGACTATGTTGTTAATAGATTCATGTTCTAATTATATAATAAATACGCGAATCTTTTATAATCATTAATAAATTTATAAAATCGCACTAAAAATATTTAAATATTAAGATATATATAATTTATTTCTATAATTATAAGTGACCGATAGGCTTGAGTCGGATAATTATATGTCAACATCACTCTGCTCGAACTTGACTTGAACAATTATTAGAACTCCAAATCTAGCGCGCCCATATTCGAGCTCAAAACTCATTATGGTCGGATCGTTAAATTAGATTATTAGATTGATTAGTTTGAACTACATTTGAAATAAAGTTTGAACTAGATTAGTTGGAAAAAGATTGATTCGATAACAACCTACACTAAACTTTGTAGGGAGTTGGTTTTTGTAGTGTTTGGGAGTTGGTTTTTTGGAGGGGAGGGGAAAACATGTGAGGGAAATAAACTCTCCTATTTGTGTTTGGGAGTTCAAATAATATGAGGGAAAGGATTTGGGGGTGTTATAAAATCCTTCTAAACCCTCTAAATTTAAACCTGAGTTTTCTAAGGTCTAACTACACAAATCACATATTTATTCTTTGAAACTAATACAGTTCCCGCATAAAAATTTTATGAACTGCTACTCCGCCGCTGAAACACCTCAAGTCCCAAAACCACCCACTTTTGAAATTTGTAACTCCCAAACAAAAGGAGAAAATCTCTTCCCATCTCCCTCCCCTTCCCTTCTCTCTACTCCTATTCAAATAAAGGGATTGACTCATCGGGTATGTTAACATGTTATTGTATCTTTCTTTGGTTTATCGATAAGGTGATCTTTTGTTCAAATGCATTAATAATTAATTAATATCGATGAAAAAGGCTAGAAATGCCAACGCGTATTTTGGGAAGAAAAGAAAACTGTTTGACATGTTGAGTGAACAAACAAGTGAAATGTGAAATTGTTAAAACCTTCATGGAAGAAGCTAAGGATTATTAAAATCTAAGGATTTTTTTAATTAACGGAGATTGTTATTATTAAAATCTTCATGGAAGAAGCTAAGGATTACATAGGCCAACAGATATATAACTAATAAAAATGAGAATGAAGATAACATCAATTGATCAATATCAATATAATTATTCTGCAGATACTCTCCAAAGCACTTTTATATGGTAGTGAACTTGATCATAACTAAGAAGAATTTCATCTAAGGTAAACATCCAATAGATGTTTTCATGATCTGTGTCTCTTTCGGGAGAGTATCCCTTGACTTCAAGTTCATATCTCTTTTCAGCCAAGATATCCCCATAATACTCACAATAACAAATGTAAGCATAATCTTTGTCTTTCTCTTTGGCTTCAAATGAGAATCTCTGGAGTGGCTCTAGTTTAGCAGATCCACCATCTCTACAGTCGAGAGAAACATTTCCTTCTTTTATATTGTTGAAGAATTGGACGATTGGAAATTCGGCTAAGGATGATGAACTCGCAGCAGAAAGAGCCAATGACAATACCGCAAGGACGACCCATATTTTTGTGACCATATTTCTTTAATCTTCCTTGAACTTTTCTTCTTTGTGATATTTTTGTTTAATTTGGGAGTCATTTCGGTTCTTATATAGAATGTGAGATGTGAGTGGTGTGAAGTATACTCCACATGGTACAAACATTAATGAGGGTCGATCATTATTTCGAAATTGGTTGGGGAAATGATGATATATTGTACAGTCATACCTTATTCAGAAAATACGCAAATTTGAAAGTGCACACATGAAAATTGAGTGACTGTTTTGTTAGTCTTATTTCTATAGATATTTAATTTTTTTAATAAGATAGTCCATATAGAAAAATTAGTATACTGTTAGATTGGCAGAAGGAAATGGGAAATGGGTAGATTTTCGGCAAACACCGCGGAAGATCTGTCTGTCCGAGAAGCGATGCTATGGGCTCAAAGTTTGGGATGGCAGCATGTGATAGTAGAGTCTGATGCGCAATCGGTTGTAAGGGGAGTGTTCTATTGAGATGGGATTTCATATGATGATGGAATATATGCAGAAATTAGACACATGATAGGCGGATTTTGCTAGTATAAGTGTCCAATAGGTGCAAAGATCAGCGAACCGGATTGCTCATGTTTTGGCAAGGCAAGCGGTTTCGGAGACTGGTTTCGTTTGGTTTGATTCACCACCTCGTTGTATTGTGAACTTGCTTATAAGTGACTATCAATGATAAAGTTATTTGATTCTCACAAAAATTAAATGCCATTTACTTCTTAAAAATAGAGTCAAACATCCAAATTAATTTCTTTTTAGGAAATAAATAAGAAATTGTATATTAGTTTAATTTGTATATTCATGAATGACTATAACGGAATAAGTATAATTAAATTCAAATAATCATATAAGTCAGCACTTTAACTCTGATATCATTATCTGCAGGTCACACATCAATGTTTTTCATTGATAATATGTCAATGGAACATCACAGTGTCATCTCTAGTTTTTTTTTTCTTTTTCAGAATAAGCACAACATCCCGATGAATCAGACCATCACGAGGGGGAGAGTAGCTCATGTGCATTAAAACTCAACCCATCATTATCGGACACATCTCTCCCACTACACGACATAAGCTAGATGTAACACGCGCATAATTAGATGTTACTCATGCATAAAAAGATGTAACTCGCGCATTAGTAGATGCAAGTCACGCATAATAAGATGTAACTCACACATAATAAGATGTAACTCGCATAAGAAAATGCAACTTCATATATCATCAAATGTAACTCCAAGAATCAAAATAGACAAACTCAATGTCTGAAAACCTCTAAAAACATACTTCCTCCGGTTCTTATTTAAGTTCCCAGTTTGACTTCACACATATTAAGAAAATGAATTTGACTTTTCTGTGGAGTGCACTATTTGGCACTGTTTGGCACTGTTTGGACACTGTTTGGCACTGTTTGACACTGTTTTGCACTGTTTTGTTTCCTAAAATGGAAGTGTGAATTTAAATAAGGGACATCCCAAAAAGGAAAGTGAGAACTTTAATAAGAACCGGAGGGAGTATAATTTAGATAAAAATATACTCTGTATATTATAGAAAAAGTGTGTGCATATAAATATATATTACAAAAACGTGTATGAATATAAAAAATATATTACGTAGTACAAAAAAAGTGTGTGAATATTAAAAAAATATTACAGAAATAAAAATAGTGTATGAATATGAAATGTGCAATTTACTTCTACTTATTTTATTAAGATTGATGAACTTTTGTTATGTATTGATAAAGAATAGAAAATAGATTCAATTATAACTTAAGTTGAAGATAAAAAAAAAGTAAAATTACAATTAACATTTTAGTATTTTAATTTGATGGAAAAGGAGAAGAATTGAAGAAAAGAAAAATAATGAAAGAAAAGGGAATAACGAAGATCCAAGAGGAAAGAAAAAGAAAAAGCAACTGCCTAAAATGGGTTCGACACACCATGCGGACGGTGAGCGGATCCCCCAGTATAATTTGCGATTTTAACATGTCATTGTATCTTATTGCTTTATCAATAAGATGGTCTTTTGTTCGTTCAAATGCATTAATAATTAATTAATATCGATGAAAAAGGCTAGAAATGCCAACACATATTTTGGGAAGCAATGAGTATGAATTAATTAACTAATTTAATCGTAATTTGATATCAGATTTATTTATTATAATCCGATCCATCCATTTAAAGAAAAAAAATACTGTGGAATGTTGAGTGAACAATTAAACAGGTGAAATGTGAAAGGGGCCTTTTTTATTAACGGAGATTGTGATTATTAAAATCTTCATTTAAGAAGCTAAGGATTACATAGACCAACAAATTTATGACTAATAAAAACGCGAATGAAGATAACATCAATATAATTATTCTCCAGATACTCTCCAAAGCACTTTCATATGGTAGTGAACTTGATCATAACTAAGAAGGATTCCATCTAACGTAAACATCCAATAGATGTTTTCATGATCTATGTCTCTTTTGGGAGAATATCCCTTGACTTCAAGATTATATCTCTTTTCAGCAGAGATATCCCCATAATACTCACATGAACAAATGTAAGCATATTCTTTGTCTTTCTCTTTGGCTTCAAATGAAAATCTCTGGAGTGGCTCTAGTTTAGCTGATCCACCATCTCTACAGTCAAGAGAAACATTTCCTTCTTTTATATTGTTGAAGAATTGGACGACTGGAAATTCGGCTAAGGATGATGAAAGAGCCAATGACAATACCGCAAGGACGACCCATATTTTTGTGACCATATTTCTTCAATCTTCCTTGAACCTTTTTTTCTTTGTGATATTGGTGTTTAATTTGGGAGTCATTTCGGTTCTTATATAGAATGTGAGATGTAAGTGAGAAGCGTACTCCACAAGGTACAAACATTAATGAGGGTCATTCATTATTTCGAAATTGGTTAGGGAAATGATGATATATGGTACAGTCAGACCTTATTCAGAAATTCGCAAATTTGATTTGAAAGTGCATGCATGAAAATTGAGTATTTTGATAGTTCCTATATCGTTTAGATTCCAATTTAAAAAGTAGTCATAGGAAGAATATAAAAGTTAAAAATGAAGATGTTTTGTTAATCTTATTTTTATGGGTTCTTGATTTTTTAATAAGATTAAGTCATATAGAAAAATGCGTATAGTATTAGATTACTTATTACTTTCAAATAAAGACTCAAAGTCCATAAAAAATTAAGATCGTATCAGAAAGATCCAAAAAATATTATAAAACTTGTATAATATCGTCCTAATAATTGATTTTTACATTTTTTTTCTTTTCTTCGTTCCTCATTTTTATTAATATTAAGGGCAACTGCATCCTAGGATGGCAATGGGTTGTATTTGGATCGGGTGGAGGTCCACCCTACCCCAGCACCCGATACATTCGTCACCCGTTAAATATTTCATCCACATACAATCGATCCATCATCAATGGCATATTCGGGTGGATCATGTCAGTGACGGATGAAATTACTAATACTTTTTTCTTCCCAATTTTATCTTCACTCTTTCTTTTTTCGTCTATCTCAATATAAACACATTTTCCCTATTTATTAAAGTATTTATGCTTCACAACATTTTTCTCACTTTCTCTTTTCTCTACACAACTTATGTTATATATTTTCCACTTTCTTAAGCCGTGTTATTGAGACGAAGGGAGTACACCTTATTTTCATCCAACTTATTCTATGGTATGTGTAAAACTTACTATTTAAAAAAACAGAACACATCAATGCTAATAAATATTATGACTAGTAATATATACTCCGTACTCCCTAATACATAAATTCATCTTCAAGTATTAAATCAAAATAAAAATTCACATAGGGTAACTATAAATAACATTTTTATACACTTTCATCTACCCCAAGTTTATATCTTTTCCATTAAGTCAAAAAAATGAAGTATAAAAATAAAGTAAGAGAAAATAAATGGGACAATTTTAGAAGAAAATGTATAACTATATTTGGCTTTACAAGTATGTATTTTTGAAGAAAAAAATACTCCGTAAATAATAGCGAGTAGGTGGCGGATGGGGTGGTGATCAGGTGATGAGTCGGGTGATGGATGATATATATGTACACCCACATCTCTTAATTACCCGCTTTATAACCTATTCACCCATCATTCTTTTTTCATCCTAAGATATGATTCTCGGATTTTCATCCTGAATCATCCATATATATTTTCGGGTTAGGTGGATCAGTTATCCAATGAGTGCAGGTGTAATCAGGGATGGATTTAGAGGGGAGCGGGGGGTGATCGTTCCCATTAGACTTTCAAAATTTTCTATTATATATGTAATATTTTCATAATTTTTCATAATTTAATTAGATATATATGTGTTCGCCTCCGTTAGTTTTTTGTTTTAAAGATTAATATATAGTCTTACATAATGTAATACTCAATAGAATATTTGAAAGAAGAAACATCTAAAATAATTTACTTACCTTAAACAAATAAACAATAGGACAACTCATTGTTTAAGACTTAGGATACTTAATAAATAGAATACTTAATAAACAATAGGTCAACTCATTGTAATAAACAATAGGACAACTCTTTATTAAAAAATTAGTACTCAATTTTGAAAAATATAAAATGATATTAAAAACCAGACACAATACTTAAACAATTTTTAGATCATGTGAAGTGAATCCAAAACATAAATGTTTATTGAAATTAAATTACACAATTCATTTACTTCTTACTTTCTAAAAGCAATTTGTTGCATATATTTAGCTTTAACTTTCTAAACTTTAACTTATTTTAGTTTTAATACAAATGTAATATGCACCAGATATATGAATTATCAATATAATATTATTCTAAAAATAATAATATATCACACATACTATTGTAATATTAAGAAAACTCTTTGTGACTCACGAAAACACTCTTTGGTAGACAAAAATTGCAATTCAAAAACCATTTCTTTATTTCGATAAGATTCATGTGGTTAAAAAAGGTAGAAGTTATTTAAAAAGTATTGGTGAATGTGTACCTTTTAAACTTTTTATTTTTCACATAATTTGATAAAATGTTATATAT